CCAAAAGATATTCTTGATAGTGTCTAGCGCAGTAAATGACAAACCTTCAGTGATGCTCAATAACACACTTGTTTTCATTCAAATTTCTATTATAACTGATTGTAATCATGTCTGTGAACCACAATGGTCTAGAGCTGGAGGGCAAGAATCCAGGCCTTCATTTTACACAGCCTTCATTCTATTTATATATATTTATACTATAAATGCATATATACTTATATATGTATGATTATATATCAAAGTAGTCAAGCAATATTTATTTGCTAAATTAGACTGTATTCTCCCTTCTAACTATACTGTCCTTTGACCATGTCACATCTGTCCCCCGTCTCTTTGGTCATATACCATTCCAAGCTCCTCTACACAGCCTTCCAAAACCACTTAAGCCAATGCTGATCTTTTCCTCAAAATCTATTAGAGAATATTACCTGGTACAGTACCTTGTGTGAAACATTCTGTGGTATTTGCTATGTTTCCCTAGATTGAACACAACTTGTCCCAACTAGATAGTATCCTCAACAGCAAGGTGCAGGTCAACTTCTTGATCTACACCCACCTCAGTACTGCACTGCTCAGGGAAGTGGCACTCAGTACACTGATGGATTAAAATGTCATGGACGGGACTTCCCTGATGGCACAGGGGTTAAGAATTCATCTGCCAATGCAGGGGACATGGGTTCGAGCCCTGGTCCGGGGAAGATCCCACATGCCACGGAGCAACTAAGCCCGTGCGCCACAACTACTGAGCCCGCACTCTAGAGCCCGCATGCCACAACTACTGAGCCCGCGTGCCTAGAGCCCGTGCTCCACAAGACAAGCCACCACAGTGAGAAGCCCGCACACTGCAACGAAGAGTAGCCCCCGCTCGCTGCAACTAGAGAAAGCCCACGCGCAGCAACAAAGACCCTACGCAGCCAAAAATAAATAAATTTATTTTTTTAAAAAAGGCATGGACAACAGAGCTCCACCCAGACAGAGAGCTAACAGTAACCCACTTGGCTCGCCAGCCCTGGCGGCCTTCTCAAAGCCACGACTTGGCACAGCACCTATCCTCTGGGGTGAAGGGCAGGAGAGGATGGCTGCTCACGGGAGAGGGAAGACCTGCACTCTGCAGGGCCAGGTCATGCAACAGCTGGCCTTCAAGCTCTTCGGTGACACAGAGAGAGAGAAACCAAGAGACCACTTTATGATGCAGATGCAGAAACCAAAGCCCTTTCCAGGTGAGGTGTTCCAGCAATCGTCCCAGAGAAGTTCAGGCCCAGCCTGCCCAAAACCCAAGTTCCCCAATCAAGAAGGCTTTGCTGCATCCAACCGCTTACCTAATGATGCTTCTCTCTTCACTTCAAACATGTCCATCACAGGAAATCCCTGAAAATACCCAGGTCACTCACTTAGCTGTCATAGGAAGGAATCAGAAATTCAAACAAATTGGGGAAGGAAAATGCTTTTCTAGATTCCTTTTCCTTCACCCGGCCCTTGACTGTGAAAGTGTTCCCAGGGCCTCTCCACGGCCCCTTTTCACTCAACACGCTCTCCAGTATTTTCATCTGCAGCCTAGAGCATCAACCAGTACTGACAGACGAGGAATTCCCCAATCTCAGTCTCCCAGCCCGACTGCTGGTTTTGAGCTCGCAATGGGCATATTCCACTACACCCCAGCTGTCTCAGCAGGATGAGTTCAGCACTCCCCTCCCTCCAGGCAACCAGCACCACCCCCTTGTGGTCGCACTGCCTGCCTCGGCCCAGCGCACCTCTTAAGCAGAGACCCGGGCCACTTCAGTTCCTTTCTCCTCTCTTACCTCGGACACCAGGTCTGACCCGTCCTCCCTCCGAAATAAGTAGTCCGTGTAGCCCCACCCAAGGCATCCCCACACCAAGGATCTCCAAAGCTTTTTAATACTCACCTTTATTATTTAAAAAAAAAACTTGAGCATACATGTACTCCGAAATATGTATTCACTTACAAATTAAAATACGTGTACCTCTACAGCACTACAGTAAGATATTATAAACCACAATAAAAGTTTAAACTTTAAAATATAAGATTAAAAAATATATATAAAATTAAGTCTAATATTTTCTTCCTACACTCCAGTGAGTTATTTTATACATCCCTGGGGTCCAGAAAGCTGTACTTTGGAGACTGTTTACTGAAATTAGTCCTATAATTGTGTGTTTATACATGTATGTACTATGTATATGTGAAGCAGTTTTTCACTCACACACACACATTTCATGAGATGATATACACACGCTTTAGCATACTGCTAAATATAGCTAACCTTAACCTTATCTTCCAAAGCCACAAACCAAAAATAAAGCATAGAGACTGTTTTAAAAAATTATTTTATAAATAAAACTTAACTCTGTAAAAGTCTCATAATTAGCCATCTTTAAAAAAGATGTGAAATTTACAAAGTACAGTTTAGCTCCTTTTGCATACAGCTCCTGAACAAGAGATACCACATTTTTTTCACCAATCTACTGACATATTCGAAGGCTGCTAATGTTCTGGGGGTTTCACGGACTGCACCTCCTATAACCTAGATACACACAATTTTTTCAGTTTTCTACAGCTATAGATACTGCTATCATTTCAGGGTTCTGAAGACTAATGTACTCTTCCCTACTCATACTCCTATAAGCCCACCCTCCGGACCCCGACTCCCACCTCTGCAATAGCAATATAAAAGGACAAAAATCCCACAACATATAACCAGTCAGAATAGACCTGCTAACACAACAAAAGATATTTACATATTTTCACAATATGGTCTTCTAGAATTCTACTGACAGCTCCTAACTCTCCATGCAGAGTGGGGAAATCAGTCCACATGAATCCTCTCAGATACTAATTCAGCTTGATACACGTTCAGAAATGTCAATTCTCAGAACTTCAAAGTTCTGAAGCTTTTACCAGTTAGATGTTTCATCTCATCACTCCAGCAGAGTACTTAAGAACAAACCAGTGCACTTACAAAATGATTTTAAAAATATATATTTTCTTCAGATAGAATATTATATTACCCCCGACGCTGTAAGCCACAATTTGGCAAGAAGCCAAGCAATGAAGCTATTAAGCGGCAAGCATTCCATGAAAACTAGCACCACCTGAAACTGTTAATTTTCACTATTTTTTTAAAGTGACCAGATGTCCCCAGAGTTTCTCCAGGAGTTTGGAATTTATCGACCCCAATATAGAACTACATGGTCATTCAGTGATGCTAATTTGGGGCAGCTTTTAATTATACTGACCAGAAAGTTGAGGAGAAAGCCACCTAAATCCAGTGATTTTCAATACTGCTGATTCTATTCTATACTGTGCACACACAGAATATTGGGAAAATAATCTTAATAGAAAACTTAACATTCTTTTAAAAAGAATCGACATTACAAAAACTTAAAATTTTAGGTCTGTGAAGTCAACATACATGACTTAATTTGGAGTTTTGTTTGCTTTCTATTCACAGGAGTAAAGTATTAACCACATCCCCTGTCTTAACTAGGTAATGAGTTTTAGGGTGAGTAAAATGGCTTTCTCCTCAAACGCCTGTAACCAAAATATTGATTTGTTTCATGTGTTTTCTATTTATCAGTTACTCATCTTCAGTCCCTCATTTATTATCAATCAATGAACTAAAATTATTTTCAAATAGAACATTTTAGTGGGACTCTTAAGTAAGCCCTGACCCCGTGGGCCTAGATGTCCACAAATCTAGAATAGGTAACTTGCAACTAAAATCCCTTAGTCATTTCTAAAGTGGTCTATTACATAACCTATTGTAAAGGCTGGATATAGTTTAAGAAAGATGCCTACTCAAAATTCTATTAGCATTTGGTATTTTTGTACAATCAAAACAACAACAAAAAATAATCCAGTAATTCTACCCACCTATTTCTGTGGAACGCAGATCCAAAGAAATCTTACTAATAACATTACCAATCACATGCTGAGACTTTTTAAAAAATCTTTTTAATATACCAAGAAGGAAAGAAAAGGAGTCAATACTGAGCATCTACTCTAGGTGTCTTCCATTTTACATTTGCTTTTCACTACACTGCACTTTTGCAAAGTTACTTGTGGTTCAAACATGGGTTGCTAGACCCCATGGGTTGTCTTCATACAGCTGGATGACCATCTACGCTCCCTGTGCCTCAGTTTCTTCATTTGTAAAATAGGAACAAAAACGGCACCTACCTCGTCGGACCGGTTCCGGGATTAAATGAGAAAATAAAGGTAAAGTGCGTAGAGCTAAGCTTGGCCCTTACTGTCGTTATTATAACAGTTACTAGTTTTATTATTAGTGTAGGTATTGTTCCCATTTTACAGATGGGGAATTGGAACCTTAAAGAGCGTAATTTACTAGCGCTAGGTTTTGACTCAAAAGCACAAATCTGATGAAACAAAAATTGCTCAAGCATTAAATACTAGCATTCTTAAAAATACAACTTGTTCTGAAGCATAAGGAACGGCACGAATCAGGCACAGGTCGGGCATTCGCCCTGGACACCGCCGCGACGTCTACACCCAGCATTGGGGGAAAGGGCCCACAGGACGCGCCGACCCCGCGCCCCGTTTCCCGACGGCTCAGCGACGCCCCAGGCGCAGAACTGGACCAGGGGGTGAGTGGTCCCCGCGTGGAGGCCCGGCAGCCGGCGGCTCGGGGAAGCCGGCGTCTCGGGGCAGCCGGGGTCAAGGCCGCTCCCCGGACGCCGGCCCGCGGAGGCCCGTCCGCGCCTAGCCCGCGGGGTAGTGCCCATGGCCGGCGTCCGAGCGGAGAGTCCCGGCCCCGGGCCTCCGCGACCGCGGCTCGGGACGGGTAAAGCCCGAGCAGGCCAGCGCCCTCCAACGCCCCCCGGCCGGGAAGGTCCGAGAGCAGGCGCGGCCCGACTTCCTCCCCCGCCCGACGACTGGAATCCGCCCCGAGGCCGCGGCCCCCACGCCTGCCCCGCGGCCCTGGCCTGGCCGCGCACCGAGCACGCCGCCTGCCCGGGCCCACCTTCTCCCGCGGCGTGCGACCCGCGCGGTCGGCTCGGCCTGTGCTCCGCGGCTCACGCTCGGCCTGTCCCCAGGGCTGGCTTGGCCTCCCGGGCTCGGGCTCGGGCTCGGGCGCGGCGGCGGCGGCTCCGCCTCCTCCTCTCGGGCGGGAGGAGGAGACACAGCGGCGTGGGGCCGCCTCCCGGCAGGAAACGACCCCCGCGGCACCGCCTCCCAGGCGCGGCGATCCCGCTCCTCAGGCCGCCGCCGCCGCCCTCTCCCTCCGGAAGCGCATTCCTCTCGGGCCGCGTCAGCCGCGCCCGCTGGGGGAGGGGGAGGAACGGGGCAGGGGCGGTGCGGGACCGGGGGAGAGGAGGGGGCCCCCGGGACAAAGGAGCGGCAGGGTCGGGCGACAGGCTCCGCCGCGGTCTTCGCGGTGCCTCAGTTTCCTTTGCTGCCGGGAGAGGGAGGGTTTGCGCGGCCCTGCGCACCTTAATATCCTCCCGTGAGGGAATTCCGGAGCCTCCTTCTCGGCCTGTCTTAGGCGCTGCTTCCCCAAAGCCCCACGTCTGTCTGGCCCGCGGTCCGGCCGACTGGCCCAGGACTGCCCGGTTTTGAACCCTGGAAGCCCTGCCTCCCGGGAGCCGCCTCAGTCCCCGACAAATCGAGACACTTAGTCACTCACCTTGCAAGGCTTCGTGGGACCAAAAACGTTTCCCTTTTGGAAGGGAAGTGGCTAAAGCCGGTATTATTTTTCTGGCGTGAGGATTTGCTTGACTTATGTCTTTGAGAAAGGGGAAGACTCAGGGAGGAAATGGGTGCCAGGAAAGATGGAGATGAGGAAAGTTTTAGAGAAAAACTGGTGAGTTGGGGAGCAGCTTTTGTTAGGTTAATCTGGGGCACAGGGAAGAGAAGGAAAAGTTTCATCCTTGATACAGTTTCTGTCCATCCTCACTTTTTTGAGTAGGTGGACAGGGGGCTGGAGAAGGGACATTGAAGAGAAGTGAAACATTTCATTATGAGCATGGCTGGGCGCATTTTGATAAGAGGATTGAAACTTGTGCCAACCGGCATCATACTGAAACCCGGTAACTCAGAATATGCTGCTGGCAGGCTGCCATTCTGTTAGCAGAAAATGTGTTGCCACGTGGTGAGCTGTAGCACCTGTTGGGCACAGAACTCGAATTATTAGATTTGTGAAACTGGTGTTTCATTTGGGGGAGATTAGAAGCCGCGATGCCCATTTGGCTGCCAATCTTAAATAAGAGAAAACAAAACAATCCCATCTATGGAAATTTTGCCCGTTGCTCGCCAGCAGAATCGAATCTGTTGGTTAGATAATCTCTGGAAACCTCTAAAGAAATGAGAATGATTTTTCCCACTTAATGGATGACCAAACCTAAGAGACTAAATGATGTTTCCTTATTTGTGGAATCTAAAAAAGGATACAGATGAACTTACTTACAAAACAGAAACAGACTCACAGACATAGAAAACAATCCCATGGTTACCAAAGGGGAAGTGGGGGGGGTAGGATAAATTAGGAGTTTGGGATGAACATATACACACTACTATATATAAAACAGATAACAAGGACCTACTGTATAGCACAGGGAACTATATTCTATAACTTACAAGAACATATAATGGAAAATCTGAAAATATGTATATAATATATATCATAAATATTATATATATAACCGAATCACTTTTCTGGACACCTGAAACTAACAGAACATTGTAAATCAAATATACTTTAAAAAAATAAACAAATAAATAATGTTTCTATATTAATAACCCAGTGGTGCGGCTGCCATCAGACCTCAACATCCTTGAATTTAAAGATACTGGTTATACCACTTCAAAATTGATCAGAACTGGCCTGGTCTCAGCATAGATTACAGTTCTAAAGGTAAAGCGTAATTTATCCATGCTTGATTTGCACTACATTTCCCAGAACTTTCATCCCTATGTGACTTGCCACAAGAACATTATGAGGTTCACATTTGCACAACACTAAACTAAATTAGTTCAAAGGCAGTGTAATCATCTTTTTAATCCCAGTGTCAAACACTGTTCCAGGTCAGACAATAGGGGCTCAGCTAATATTTGATAAATGAATAAATGGATCCTTTTGCTCCCCTGGGACCACATCAGAACATTTGGCTAAACTAAAGTGTGAGAAGCAATTTCTGTACAGAAGTCATGAGCTTTGAGGAAACAAGAAATTAAAGAAACATGTCAGGAATATGACTCCACTTGTTTTTAATCACATGATTATGGAATACAGAATTGGGAGTAGGAGTGAGTCAATGTTGACTCAGGAGTGGAATGCTGTCTTTCTCTTGTAGTTTGAACACTTTTGGCACTCAGCCTGTCAAATATTATCCTGTCCAGTAAGCCACAAATCATCCCATGATAACTTGAAGCCTTTTCAATCTTTTGAAAGTGGAAAAGCCTCTAAAGTATAACATTTTACAGGCAAATATTTTAGTACACATTCATTTATAAATGATTTTCCAATTACAATAATCATATCACTTGGGCAAGACTCCATGGGGTTACAGCAAAGGGTGAATACCTGCATTGTGAGAATAGGAATATACCCACGACAAAAATGTTTTGGTCTGGACCACTGGCTGGCACATTATGGCTCAACCCATATCAGATCAGTTTTAAATAAACAGTGTGGGGACTTCCCTGGTGGTGCAGTGGTTAAGAATCCACCTGCCAATGCAGGGGACACGGGTTCCAGCCCTGGTCCAGGAAGATCCCATGTGCCGCGGAGCAACTAAGCCCATGTGCCGCAACTACTGAGCCCCCATGCTGCAACTACTGAAGCCTGCGCGCCTAGAGCCTGTGCTCCGCAACAAGAGAAGCCACCACAATGAGAAGCCTACACACCGCAACGAAGAGTAGCCCTTGCTTGCCACAACTAGAGAAAGCCCGTGTGCTGCAACAAAGACCCAACGCAGCCAAAAATAATTTAAAAATTTATTAAAAAAAAAAAAGCAGTGTGACTTTGTATCCCAGTATATCCAGATAACCCCAGTTTGTGTGTTGTCCAAGCATAATTATTAATAGCACCCCTTTTCATTCTCAAAAGTACATCCTGATACAGAAGATAGATTGTACCATCACCCTATAAATAAGAGTGTCCAGACAACAAGGGGAAAAAAAGGTAATTTTAGCAATTCAAAGGGGATGCATAGGGACACAATGCAAATCAGATCCCAGATTTATAGATGAAGACCAATTCCAACACTGATCATCAGGGAAAAAATTGTGTGGGGATAAGTGAAATGAATTAGGCAGTTCCTACGTGATATAGATGCCCACCAGAAGATTTAATGAAAGAAAACCCAAGAAAGTAGCTTGGCTGATCAACAGACTTGGGTTTTAAATACCATTGTAAAAGTGTGCGATGGCTTCCGGAGCAGATTGATTGCCAGTGGCTAGGTAAGTCTTCAGCTGCTTTTCTAAGAAATGTTTCTACAGAGTGATCTGGATATATTTTTCTCATCTGCCACCTTCTTTAAACATGAAAAAAGAAAAAGATGAGCGGATGATGTTAGAAGGAATAGAAGTCTCCGATAATTCCCTATAATACGTATGTGGATGTGCTTCTGAATCATAAATAACTTCATTCCTTTACCTAAGACACTAAACTCTATTACAGTGTGAATCTGTGTGCCCTGGCTTAAAAAAAAAAAAATAGCCCTGGGAATTATTAACATTTTGAAAATCAAGGAACTGGTTCTCCAGTTCCTCCTTTTTCTGTCTCCAAATATACAAATAACATACAAATAATCAAATATTGCAAAGAAACTGGAAGTTCACTTATTTTGCAACTTCTTATTTTTGTCCTTGGAGCTTTGACTGAGTGAACACTGCTCAATACCCTGTTATACCTGGCAGAGGAACCATGGGTTTGCCACAAGGTCATCAGCAACTGTGTATGTACGGTATGTGGCAGTGTACTGGACTAGCCCATCCTGAGGCTTTAGTTAGTGCTTTATTCTTTTGCTTATTTAAAAGTAAGCTGGAAAAGTGTCAGAACAGTCTGCCCTTCTAGCTTAGGGCTAGCCACTGAGTCTTTTCCTTTTCTAGACAGTTCACGGTTGCTGGGTTATGGATCTGAATATGGGCCACGTATGAGTAAGGCTGCCTCAACTGTTCAGCTTCCTGTTTTCCATATATAGCGTGCTCATTTTTTTCTTGCTCAGTCCATGGAGTATTGCCTCCGCTGGGTGTGAGCACTCCCTGCCAGCTTTCAGAGGCTGAACATTTTTAAGAGCCCAGAGGGAACAGTGTTTTTAGGCAGCTCTTTTCAGACACTGAGTTTCTTCAGCTGGAGAAGGGAATGTGCCTTCCCAAATAAGAATGAAGAATATGCCAAATGTAAGCAGTTGAATAGTGCTGGAGGTATTTTTAGGAACTGGGGTCACTCAGTACAGGAAATGATGGTGCTACCAGCAACTTATGGCTAGAGACTCTAAAACAACATTATTTCTCTCCTCATATAAATACTTTTGAGTATCTTGAGAAAATTTGGCAATTTGAATTAGAAGCAGCTGGATTGGGGGCCAGATTCATCAGGGAGTGGGACAAGTAGGTTAGCTGAAAGTTGTGTTTGTTTGGTAAGTGATACAGCCCTCCTCCCCCAAATTAATCCCCATAACATTTTAGAGAGAGTTCTTGCCGTGTGCCTGGGTAAGGGAAACAATGAATCCATGGCCCCCCAAAACTATAGACACAATTTCACTTAAACATATAGATCTGTATTTTTGCAGATAATTCTGGTTTTCATGGGATCTTAATCCCAAAACATTAAAAATCACTATTTTAAACACAGTCCCTTTTATAGACCAGGAGCCTAAACACATTTCTTTGTTGTTGTGGGCTTGTAATCTTGACTTGTGTACTAATTAATCTTATCTAAAACAATTTTTTTAAACATCAGATACACCTCCAAATATTTTGCAATAATAAGATTTTTCCCTGCAGTGTTATTTAACCTGTAGGAGGTAGAACAGAGGAAGTACCATCTTCTGTGATCAAACCACATGACTAAAGAGTGTGCTGTTTGTGTTTACTTTTCAATGTAAAATAAATTTCAAAGGAAAACCAGAACATTTTATTTCAGATTTCCAACTTTACATACTAGGACTTAAACGCCTTCAAATTATATCTAAAAATCACCCTGATTGAAAACTGTTGTAAATGTTTAATTAGATTGAGAACAATTCTAAATTAATTTTAATTATACTT